TCGAATAGTCATCAACGATAACAAAGCCAAAGTAATTACCTCCTAAACTCATAGTTCTTGAAGGTCCAAAAAGGTCCATGTGCAAAAGTTGTAATGGCCTAGTCGTAGAAACAACGTTCTTTGACTTAAACGAGGCCCTTACTTGCTTCCCCTTTTGACATGCATCACAAATTAGATTCTTCTCAAACTTAAGTTTAGGAACACCAATTACTAAGTCTTTAGAAACCAACTTATTAAGATGGTCCATATTAACGTGAGCTATCCGACGATGCCATAGCCACGTTTCTTCCTCTTTGGTAATGAGACACTTAGCTAAAGTAGATGGGGAATTTTCAAGATCAAACATGTAAATGTTATCTACTCTACTATCACAAAGAATAGTCTTAAATGTTATCTACTCTACTACACGGTTACCTCTATCGCACAATTGGCTAATGCTAAGAAGTTTGTGCTTGAGGCCCTCAACAAGAAGAACGTTCTCAACGGTTGTAGAATTGTCCTTTCCGACGGTGCCACTTCCAATGATTCTTCCTTTGTTGTTGTCACCAAAAACGACATTGCCACCTTTGAAATACTCTAAACTCCTCAATTTGGATGCGTCTCCGGTCATGTGCTTGGAGCATCCGCTATCGAGATACCAAGAGGTACTCGAAGCCTTCAAGCACGCCTACAAAAAGATATCAAGGAGACGGTTTAGGTACCCATGTATTGTTGGGTCGTTTTTGGTTAGCATATGTGCAATGTGTGTGCGTTTGTTGAAAATGCCTAATTTTGGTGAAGCACACGGGTGCAATGTGACCTATCTTATTGCAATAGTGGCAAATAACATTTGGATTATTCATCCTATATGGTTGAGTGTAATGAGTTCTAGGTTTGCTAGGATGTGCTTTTCTAGTTTGATTATTTATCATAGCATTTTTATTCCCCCTAGCTTTAACAAATGTTGTTTTTCTAGGTTGGTTTTTCTTATATCCAAGTCCTTCAGCATTACTAACTTTTTGCTTAAGTATTTTATCTAAGGTGTTTGAAGCATTATTGAACTTTCCCAATTTGCTCTCTAAACTAGCAACCTTAGCTTTTAGTGATGTACAACTAGAACATGTAGAAGAAGAAGTAGTTGAAGGTTCTTGTGGCCTTTTTCCAAAAGAGATAATTTCTTGTTTAAGTTTATTATTTATATTTTTGAGTTCTTTGATATCATTCTCAAAAATCAGGATTTTTTGCTTTATTTCATTGTTTTCTTTGGAAGCCTTTTTGAACATTCTTACCAAATCTTCTACAATGCAAACAACATCATTAAGAGTTAAAGGATCATTGGGAGAAGGTTCTTGATCACTTACCTCTTTTGATGTATCACCATCTTCAATGGCCATGATACATAAGTTGGCCACTTCCTCCATTTCTGAGTCTTCACTCCCGGAGCCGTCGTTCTCCCAAGAGATGTAGGCACGTTGCTTCTTCGGTGCCCTCTTGTCCTTCTCGTTATTGAGATTTGGGCACATTGGTTTGATTTGTCCAATTTCACCACACCCATAACATTTGGGTGGAGTGTTCTTCTTGGCTCCCTTCTTGAGCATCATCTTCTTGAATTTTCAGACAAAGAGTCCGAGGTCAGTGTCGTCGCTGTCATCATCTTCATCATCAACGTTGTTGTGGGTTGATGTTGTTGCGGGTAGAGCAATAGACCTCTTGTTCCTCTCTTCAACCACCTTTGAGAGTTGGGTAGTTTCGTAGGTAATAAGATTACCTTGAAGAGCATCATAGGTCGTTGTTTGGAAGTCACGACCTTCTTCGATTGCGTCCACCTTTGAATGCCATTTGGGGGATAGGCTTCGCAGCACCTTTCTCACGAGCTCTTGGTCGGTGTATGTCTTCCCGAGAAGATTGAGAGGATTGATGATGTTAGAGAATCTCTCAAACATTTCCTCAATCTTCTCATTTTCCTTCATTGAAAAGAGTTCATACTCGTGAGTGAGATGGTCGATTTTGGCCTCCCGAACCTGCGTGGTTCCTTCGTAGGTGACCTCCAATTTTTCCCACATTTGTTTTGCGGTTTCACATCGCGAGATTTTGCGGTAATCATCTGCGTTAACACCGCAATAAATCATGTTTATTGCCTTTGCGTTGAGCTCCATCTTTTTGCAGTCTTCGTCGGTGAACTCCTCTTCGGTTTTGGGAACGTTGACTTCACCGACTTTCTTCATCGGACTCCGCAGCCGTTCTTCACAATCAACCACAGCTTGTAGTCGTTGGATTGGATAAAGATTCTCATCCTCTCCTTCCAATACGAGTAGTTGGTTCCATCGAACAATGGTGGCCTCCTGGTTGATTGTCCCTCGTTCACTCCCGCGTTGAACATTCTTGATGCCATTTGATCTTTTAGTTCCTGAAAAACAACGTATTCGAAGAACTTCCTGCTCCGATACCAATTGTTAGACAAATTTGCAACTCTACAGGGGGGTGAATAGAGTTGTCTTCAAGAATGTGCGTTTTTCGCGTGTGTGAAATAATAAAATCGCATGAATAAATAAAGAGAGTAAGGGAAAGAAGAACACCGAGATTTATACTGGTTCACCACCTCGTGGCTAGTCCAGTCCTCCGAGAGACTCTCTCGAAAGTCCTACTAATCTTCAAACTTCAACGGGTGCTTGAAAAACCGGTACAACTTGATAACTTGAATCACACAAGCCTCACTTTCTTACAACAACAAGACTTGAGTCACACAAGTCTTAAGAACAACACTCAAATGAGATTGAGTTTACAACACAAGAATGAAAGCTCACACAATTGAGCAAAGTAGTGTTGAAGAATTAAAGCTCTATTGATGACAACTTCTTTAGCACTCGAAGAAAATATTTCTAACTCTCAAAAATAATATTTTGATGAGGAAGATGAAGCAAAGGATGAATATAACTCAAAGAATATATTGGAGTGCAAGATATGTGTGTAGAAATGAAGGAGAATGAGGGATTAAATAGGCTGAGGAAAATAAAGCCGTTGAAGCAAGCCAGAACATGCACCAGATAAAAATAATCGATTAAAGTGAAACTATTAATCGATTAAGGTACACAGAGGCGAAAATGCCTGAAATTTGGTAAGGAATTAATCGATTAAACTGAAGAAAATAATCGATTAGGTGAATCTGTGCTAACAAATCGATTAAATGAAGAAAATTAATCGATTATTGGGCGATCCTGGGAATCCAACTAGAAGTCTATTAATCGATTAAAAAGGAAGAGAAAATCGATTAATTTCAAAATACCGTGGAAACATAAAGGACCCAAGCCTATTTGCGATTGAAGCCTTTGGCTTCATACGATTGTTTGAGACAACGAGAATCAATGCACGCTCATTGATAAACCTTATTCAATGAATTTGAATAGGGGAGAAAAAGAGTCAAAAAATTATTTTGTATGTCAAACGATGTACAGAAAAATATTTAAAGTATATTTTTCTTACCAAAAACAATTGTGTAATCTTTAAAAATATTTTTAAGAAATTTTGACACACTTATTTTGAAACTGACTCAGTAAAATATTTTTGGACAGTGAAAAAATAATTTTTCAACTGACTCAAGAAATAATAATTTTTATCCCTCAGAAACTAATTTTGTTTATGCAAAAATTATTGTCATCCTTACAGGAAACCTAGACTCAATAAAAAATAAAAAAGTCTTCGGAGTCTTCACTTCACTTGAAAAAAAATCTGCGTAGGGGTGTTCGTCGATTTTTATCGCCGTAAACTTCTTGATACCCTTCTTTGCTTTTCTCGATACGAAAATAAATTTTCGATCAGCTTGAAATTAATCATCCTGTTTGTCATTCATCAAAACAAAAAAATATTCCACAAGAAATAGTAAAGGGGTTTGAGCTCATGTCCAACATAACATTTACGTGGTTGACCTTGATAATACTCCATCCAACTTTGCCAACTGCCTCATGAGTAAAGAGGATGATATGTGGCTATGACATCAAAGAGTAGCTCATGTTAACATGGACCTTTTGAATAAATTGGTTTCACAAGACATAGTAGTAGGGCTCCCTAAACTTAAGTTTGAGAAGGACAACATTTGTGATTCATAAGGGCCTCTTTTAAATTGAAAAATGTTGTGTCTACAACATGGCCCCTACAACTCTTACACATGGATCTCTTTGGACCATCAAGAACAAAAATTTTCGGTGGCAACTATTTTGCCTTTGTAATTGTTGATGACTATTCTAGATTCACATGGACATTATTTCTAAGTCATAAAAGTGAGGCGTTTCATGTTTTCAAAACTTTTCTTAAAAAGGTTTAAAATGAAAAGAATTTTTCTATAGTAGCCAGAAAAAGCTATCATGGTAGAGAGTTTGAACAAAACCTCTTTTCCAAGTTTTATGACAAACTTAACATCAAGCACAACTTCTCCGCTCCACGTACACTGTTAGAATAAGTGCCCTTCACTAGAGGGGGGTGAATAGTGAGGCACGAGAATGTTTATAAATTTTCGCGGAATAAAAATCGCAGGGATAAAGTAAAGAGCGGAATAAAAAAAAGCGTAAGGAAAGAACACACCTATTCTACCCTGGTTCACCACAACGTGTTGCTAGTCCAGCCTCCCGAGAGACTCTCTCGAGCTACACTACTTCCCTTAAGCTTACGGGTGCTTAACAAACCGTTACAACCTGAGAACTCGAGTCCCACGAGCCTCAATACACTTGCTCAGAGATACCACACTCCAAGACTTGAACCCAAAGGAATATGCCCTTCCTTCGTATAACCAAGGGAACAAACCTCTCTTAAGTTGTTCACAACACTTAACCACTCAAGAACAAAAACTCTCTTAAAGATTAGAATATGAGTAAACTAATTTAGATCAAGACCACACTCAATTTCTCGAGAAATGGCTCTAAAAAGCTATGAAATGTGTGAGGAATGGTTGTGAAAAGTAGACCCAAAAGACCCTTATTTATACCCAAAAATGATGTGTAATGGATGGGAGTTGATTGGGGTTTAATGGCATGATTTGTGGAAATCAAATCAAAGTTGGTCTACAGAATTTTAGCCTAACATCGCTGTTCATATAGTGAACATCACTGTTTTAGCTTTGACTTTCCTTTAAAAATGGCTAACGGTCATCAAAACATCGATGTCTAGAAGTCTACATCGATGTTGGGGTGATTGACTTTGAAAAATAGAAAGATTTAGTCATAAATAGCCTAACGATCATTTGAAAACATCGCTGTTCACAACTGAACAGCGCTGTTCAAAAACCTACTGCCAAGAACTCTGAATGCAAACATCACTGATGAGAATTCCGACATCCCGGTTGGGCTGGTTCGCCAGAACCATGGTTTGGCAGCCAACGCCAAAAACCGATGTCAAAAACCAAAGTTCTCCAAAATGAAAACCAAGTGTTGTAAACTCTTATATAACGTATTTTATGTAGAAACCAAGTATAAAAACTTAAAAACCACGTCATTAAGGTAAAAACCACGGCTAGCCAAGTTTATGCCGTTTCACATGGTTTTCACCAAAAGACCTAAACCGAAAGGTGGTTTTTAAAACGTTTTTGTAGGAGAACTATTTGGATATACCCAGAAATAAAAAAACATAAAATCTTAAAAACCACTCGATTGATTTAGACGCCAAAAACCAACGCCGATAACCAGTGCCGAATGCCGATAACCAACGCCAGAAAACAAAGGTTATAGTTTTTGAAAACTAATCATTTGGAAAACCTTTAAATGTGTTTAGAATCAAAAACAAAAGATAAAAACCCCAAAAAAATATGGCTAAAATCAATGCCAATAACCAATGCAGAAAACCGAATGCCATAGCCGAATGCCGATAACCGATGGTTATGGTTTTGGTTGGGCAAGAACCAGAGGTTTTAGAAACTTAAAAACATTTATGAAAAACTAATTTGATGCATGAAAAACATATTTTGTTCTGAGCCATGACTTAGAGAAATCGAATGAGCTTGTTACAATCAAAACCTAAGTCTTTAGAAAACGTCTTCTAAACGCCAATGTCGCCATCTTTAGAAATATCAATGCCTTTCTTGTGCTTTTTGTTCCTTCAAAGAACTTTTACTATCTCTTTGAATCTTTTCGTTTTGTTCTATATTCCCGACGGTTTGTCAATATCAAAACCTAAATGGAAACAACATTGTCATTAGCATAACGTCAAAGTGAAAGTGTTTTCCGAAATACACCACAACAAAATGGAGTGGTGGAGCATAAAAATTGATGTCTCAAGGATATGGATAGAACTATGCACGATGAGGCTAAAATTCCTAAGTATTTTTGGGTGGATCCCGTGAGTATCGCGAGCTACGTGTTAAACCGAGCCGTCATTAGACCGATACTCATGAAAAACCCATATGAGTTATACAAAGGAATAAAGCCAAATCTCCCTGATCTTTGAGTCTTTGGTTGCGAATTTTTTTTCACAATAATAGAAAAGATAACTTGGGAAAATTTGATGCAAAGTCGGATGAAGGAATTTTTTTGGCTATTCGTTACGTAGTAAGGTTTATAGAGTCTTCAACAAATACACTTTGACCGTTGAGGAATTAGCTCACATTGTCTTTGCCGAGAATGATACTCGCTTGGCGAGAAATGATTTTTGTGATGAACTTGCAGATTCTTTGAAGAAAATCTATCTTGAAGACAAAGAATATGAAGAAGAAGAGAGTCCAAATGAAGTTAAAGGCAAAGAAACAGAGCGACCTTTTAACGACGAACAACCAGAAGAAGAAGCACAAATGCTGACGGCTTGGAAAACCTCCAAAAATCACCCTCTTGATAAGGTAATCAGTGACATTCACTGAGGGGTAAGTACCCGTAACTGTCTAAGGGACACTGTAGGACACATATCTTTTGTTTCTAAAATTGAACCTACAACCATTTTGGAAGAAATTAATGATGAACATTAGACCTTGACAATGCAAGACGAGCCTAACCAATTCAAACATAATGATGTATGGGAATTGGTTTCAAGACCCGATGATCATACCATAATTGGTACGAAGTGGGTGTTCTGTAACAAACTCGACGAAAATGGAATAATCAGTAGAAAGAAAGCTAGGCTCGTAGCTAAAGACTACAATCAAGAAGAATGCATTGATTTTGAAGAAACCTATGCACTGGTACCACGTTTAGAAGCTATTCGTTTATTACATGCCTTTGCTTCATCTCTAGATTTTAAACTGTACCAAATGGAAGGTAAGAGTGCCTTCCTCAATGGTTTTATTCAAGAGTAATTGTATGTTAATCAATCTCAGGATTTGAAGACTTTGAGCGCCCAAACTATGGCCCCATTCCGTTCAACTTATTTTTTCTGCTTTTTTCTTATTCTTATTAAAATTAGATCAGATCAGATCGAATCAGATCAGATTAG